TTGGGTAGGTTAGCCAGCAAACCAGCGTGTCAGACGGGATCGAAAGCTTTCGATATATCCAACGACATCGCTTGGGTTTCCCTGTAGCTGTCAAGTGCCGCTGAACATGTGTGCGAAATGAGCGCCAGGAGATCACCGGTAGAATGATGTGATCGGAAACCGTACTGGTGGTCGCTAAGCATATTGTTCTGCACCAGGTGGTGACGGAGTTGATCAGCAACAACTAACTCCATAACCTTCGAAACGACTGATGTCGCGGTAGTTGTTTGGGTCAGTGGTCGCCGCGTTTGAGGATTGAAAATATTTCTGTTATTTTCCATGGGGTTGGGAATACCTCGGAATTTGGAGATAGACAGAATAAGCGACGTAGGAGGGGGGGGGCAGTTCTGGGGTACATTTTGAGGATAATGGGAGGAACCCCGTCGTGTTCAGCGACAGAAGGATCTCACGTATTTCTCTGGTGGAAATGAGCCGTGTGAAAAGATGACTTGCCGTAGGGTGTGTGCAGGGTTGGATGGGTGATTCGAAAATTGTAGAATGGGAAGCAAAGAAATCTGCTTTTCCCAATGAGTCAGATGCTAAGTTACCGGTTGGTTTACCAATGGGTGGGAAGTTAGTGGAACAGAAATTACGGGGGACTGCCTTAGCGAGTGACCAGAACGTCCGACTCCCGGAAGGAGCGGTAATCAATTGTGCTGCTTTGCGCTCAACAAAGTGCGTTTTAGCCTTCTGTATGATGGTTGTACATTTATTACGTGCTAACAAGAACCATCGGTGGGAGCTGGGGAACGTGACTGACGCCAGGAGCGGAACGCTGATTCCTTTTTACGAACAGCGCGACAACAGGCATGGTTGAACCATTCTGGAGAAAGAGGCTTGCCGGGTTTAGTGAAATGAACTTTGGAGAAATTCGAAGCGGAGATGGAGACATCGGTGGAAAAGCAACATTCATTCCAGAGGTAGGAAGCCAGAAAGGTGCGAAAGCTGCACCAATCAGCGGAACAATATCGCCGAAATATGCGTCTAGAATTGGAAGACACATCAGAACGAATAACTTGGGTAGAGTGTAAAATAAGACAATGGTCCGATGAGCCTACGGGAGGAAGAGCAGCAACATTGGAAAATAATTGTGGACTGGATGTGAGGACAAGATCGAGGGTATGAGCTTGGTTGCCGGCACGGTCAGGGATACGGGTCGGGAAATCAACCAATTGGCGGAGGCTTTTCAATAGGGCAAGTGATTCTGCTTCACGTCCAAGGAGCGATGTCCATGAAGAATGTAACAGCCAATCCCCGTTACGGACATTAAAATCACCCAAAATTGTGAACTGAGCGTTGTGGTCTGTTTCAACAACGCTATCTATGTTTGCCAATAAAACATCAAAGAGTGAAGGGTCACTACTATTTGGGGAGCGCTACACAGTGCAGAAGTAGTCATTGAAAGAAGGGAAACGAAGTTCTAGCCACAGAGTTTGGAACTTGCGGTTGGTGAGATTTAAGTGGGAGAACGGAGTAGAAACAACTCAATGATGGATGAAAGCACAAACACTGGCTTTGGGAATGAACGAATTGTGAAGGGAATAATTGAAAAACTGAAGATGCGCGGTGCCTGTAGAAGCGGAAAGTTGTGTTTCGGATAAAAATAGAGCAAGAGGGGAAGTGGACTGAAGGAATTGATGTACAGAATCAATATAATGGTTCAAGCCGCGAATGTTAGTGAGTGCGATTGTCCACTGAGAGTGCGCTTGAGAATTGTTCCTGTTTGTTGTATCATTCATGTTGATGAGAGAGTACCTGGCAACCTAGCCCTAGAACTTGGAGTGGCGAACCACATAAGGCCCCGATGGCTAGGCGGTGGTACTGGTACGGTGCGAAACCATCAACCTAATTGGGGGTCAAACCCGAGACCTCATTTAATTACTGAACAAATCACCTTTCATAAAAGCAAGGGGAACGTAATGATATTAAACCTTATTGTAATTCATTAAAATGGAGCTTACAGAACTTATTAGGCGGCGTGCGGAACCAGGCTATACCACAACCACGCTCGCGACAACAACGGGAATTTGAGTCCGGTTGGGATTACTGCGAAACGAATCAGGCCACGGATACCCGATGGTTTTTGATCCATTAAAGATTCTAGGATGCAATCTGATTAGCACATCGTTGCGTCTTATTTACTTTCGCTCTATACACATGTGTTGTACCACGACTATACAATACACACTGGCTGTTGTTGTTCAGTTGTGTTCTCCCGTCCGTATTTACTGTTGTGGGTTAGGCAGAAGACTCTCGTTTCGGTCGTATGCGTACCACACCATCGGATCGAAAGCTCGTTTTCGTACACATCATTTATCGTCCCATCTAACCCCTTAATAACAGTTCAGTTTTTACAACCATTAACCATGCACTTTCGTGCGCTGGTTTTGGTTGTTTTTTGGCCGCCCATTTGGATAAAAGAACCGAATGAAGATTGGAATGTTGAAGGCAAATTCGAGCGGAAGATAAAAAATCAGATTGTAATTGGTCGGAACTCACCTCCCTTTCCTCTGCACTGGTTCATATTGATGCACTCCAAAACTCGCAGACAGGTCTGGACAGAAAGGAGAACACACGGCCCCCATGAGTGTTTTCTTTTTCTTATATCGGCAATATGAGAAAAGTAGTATTTTTAGAAGGTGTGATATCAGTGAGCGAGATTAAATCAATAGGAGGAAAAATGTGAGCCATTCATACATATTATATTGACAACAGTTGGTGCGGGGTCAATGTCCAGAGAAGATGAATTGTACACTAAGGAAGTTTATCACAGCTCAGTACTAGTCCTGACTTTGCTCATTGGTTCTCCGATAGGAGAAGAAGGTTCGGACAGGTTTGCTGTCTCATGCGAAAAGTCACATTTCTCGGACGGATAAGGACAACCGTCAGGATGATGTTCAAACATCCAACATGATCTATCTTTGCGTTGCATTGGGCGTTTCTTGGCCGGTACGGACAACAGCGAAACTGAGTTCTGGGACGGTATTTGTGCCATTTGTTCTGGATTCCAACGCAAGCGTACCGAACCGTTTCGAACTGCATGAAAAAGAGATAAACAAAAACGGAAGGCGTGGATTATACAAGAAGATGGCCATTATCCCAACCTTGCCAATCCCATGACTATTGCGTAGATTTGTAGCGGCGGTCGTGCTGGTTATTTCATTGAGCTTGCTATTTAGCTACCGAAAGACTTGTTACGAAATCTAAGTAGGGATGTCAACTAATCTTCGACTGATGCGTGTTTCAGTGTGGCTTACAAGTAGTCCTGTGAGTTCCAAAATTCAACACAATCGACATGCACCTTAGACGCGTTTTTTAATGCACAGAAGTGAACACAGGAAAACGGTTAAACCTATGATCCAATGATAAAATGTATCTGGGAGGGTAAAGAATAGAACTAGTTTGTTGATTCTACTTTTGAAGAAAAGGACGTTATAGGTTAGAGGGAAATAGTGTTCCACAGGGGTGCTGTTCTTGGGAAAAAGGATGATTAGAAGTTGGAATAGGTGGCTAACTACAAATGTCTGGGACCTGCGAGGAAGAATAAGTGGCAGAAGGACGGAGGACGTAAGTTCGGTAGAACAAAAACCAAAACAGCATCCGTAAAATGAGGGCAAGAAAGTTACTGCTGGACGGTTAGCTAGTAACTGCATAAGGTTACTAAACAAACGAAACAGGGTCTTCAGAGAATATCAGAAAAAATGGAGGGGAATTACAGCATTAGTGTAGAAAGCTTGGATTAGCCCATTCGATTGTTAAGAGGTACTCTTGAGAATGGGTTTCGCTCCTTGAGACTAATTCCTCACATTTTCATGCATTTACATGTGATGGAAATGCTTTTGATAACCGACAAAGAGTGCCTGGTGCCTCTTAACAATCGAGTGGGCTAATGGAAGCTTGCTTCACTAAAATTGATTGAGCCATTCGCACAACGTGATGACCGTCGGCTGTGTAGCTCAGGGGTAAGGGTTTGAAGTCCCAACCCGAATGTTAGCGGTTCGAGTACTGACAGGGACACAAAAAGTGCGCACTGCTGACGAGTCCCAAACAGGACGAAACATCTGTCCAATGCCCTTCTTCGGTTATCACAAACATTTCCATCGCATGAGAAGTACAGCCTCTGCAGGACACTAACATTCACGGGGAGTGACATGGTTCCATTTTCTCGAACGGAAATGCTGAAGTCGCGGAGAGATAGCAGGTAGATATGGTCTTCATATTAAGCACACGCCATTCACACGTTGACCTCTGACGCACAGTCCCGTTCCTAGCTGACATTAATATGTACCAAGTAGATTGCTTTTGAGCCATACGATTTCTAATAAACGTAGATGCCTACTGGGGGAATTCCCATCAATCATATTACTGAGCCTAGTAATGAAACGTTTGAATAGGAACAACTATCTCGGAGAACAAATCCACACTATTATTCATTACCAGAGTTACGGAATTTGCCACAACTGCAGAACTTCAAACCCTCATAAACTGATATCTTTATTTTTACAATAGATTTTGAAAATCACACCAACAACTATGTGGTTGATGTGTGAGCAGTGATATTAAGCCAATTCGCTCTCGTACACCGATTCAGTGATACAGGTAGGATGAAGTGAGGAGTTTAAGGGACCATTCTGAGTGCAAAGACAGCTCTGAACTTGAAAAGAACGGGGGGTCAATACTGACCTTTTGAATGGAAACAAACTAGAGTGATAGATTCTCGCACAGTACGACTTTCGTCTCACACATGATTGAGCTTTAAATGCTCTAAGCGTAGCACTTCTCGGACAAGAAATATTAGCTTTCTTTTGGTAACATCTGAGTGAGTAGGGTACGTCATCATTTTCATATTGAAGTTCGATGGTTATTAATACGCATGAACTCGTTTGTTGTCGTGTACGGATATATACGAAGGTGGAGACCCATCGTGCTTCTTCTAATCATGTCTCTCGGGGATTTTCTTCGCAAGCAATCAAGAAAGGTCGACAGTGAATAAGAACGGAGTGGGACAGTGAATATGCACTGCTGATGAACTCTAATGCGAACGAAACTTGATTACAATGCGTCCGGAGTGTATGGTCGACTGTAAGAAATGAGAATTGCGCATGAAGGCGAGGTCTGAAGGATGTTCAGCTGAAGTCAGTGGTGCGATATAAAGTTACATGCAAACGACATTTATTTTAAAACAGACATGTTGTGTAAGGCACACTAGGTGAACTGCATGTAGATCAATATTCCAATCGTCTTCAACGTCTGTTTATTGTGTTGTTCAGCGTTTTTAGGTGTCGAGCACAGCAAGTTGTAAATATAAACTGTGGAGCTGCGGTTTCTCATCATGAAATGAATAAGGCATCAAGTGAGAATTAAAGTCGGTAAATTCTCTTCTTTCTTGGGTACACACGACAGGAGCAGTGTCACTCTACACGTGGGTAGTAATCCAAGTGGATTGTATCGGTGTGCTACAAACAACCAAGGGCAAATAGGTCAAACAGAAATGAGGGTTTTAGGTGACAGGTATGAAATTAAATCACTTAGGTTGACAATCCTGGTTAAATTCGCCTCATCACGATGAGCACCAAACACAGCAGACCATTGCTCATTTGAGGGGTTCATTTTACTGAGCATCAATGATTTACTTGGTGATAAGTTCCTGTAATGATCGTAGTAGTAGTAGTAGTACGCACAGAATTCGGAACATGAACCACGCAATAGGAATCACAGAACACGAATCTAGGATCAGCTATCACGGACTGGATTACGGAAGCACTGGACCGCAATGGCACGAGCTCGCGATATCTCACGTGAACGAGACGTGAGGAAAAGGCCACAAGACTGGCAACTCGCAGTTCGTTTATTGGAAGAAATGAAAGCGATTAAATAATATGTACAAAAGAAGGTCATTGGTTATCTAGGCTTCTGCCAATTATGTTGCGGTATTGCTTGCATACTTCTGCTTCTGTCTGCACTGTCTCGGATTGGCTGGCACGATACACCAATGGCGTGTCGTCAGAAGCCGTGATGCGCACGCGCGTCATTGATGTCAACTTTCAAATTCGATTGATCGCAGGTGTCCAGAAACTGTAACGCGCCGCTCCAGGGTAGGCGTCAGTACGTAAGCCTGGATCACCACAGTTCCGAATTGGGAAAATACCATTGACGAAAGCAACGAATCATGCTGAGGTGCTGTGTTCCCCGATGAAGGCTATTCACTTATTTAGATGAAAGAATAGGGACCGTTTATGAGAATTGGTTACTGGCGTGCTAGGTCTTTGTAAAGATTCAGTCAATGGGAATTCCAGTTTTAAGCATTTGGGATTCTTACTGCACACCTTAATTCGCTGACCAGAAGGGGTAAACCCCGCAATCATGAGAATTTTATACTCAGTAAATGGAACCGAGAATGTAAACCCTGATATTCGGATTGGTGAGTGGAATAAAAAGATAGATATGGAATTGGGTGTCAATAATACAAACTCCCTGAACTGATCGATCTGCGTCATGAATCGACACGATGAGCTGACTAAATGCTTCGACTATGAGATGAATTACTATTCTGAACTTCAGACGGACCACTGGTGGGTGATGATGGATAAATTTTGTTCCAGTTTGGTGACGACGGGGTACTTCTAAAGCTACTCACCCAGTCCGCTTGACCTTAGTTGGGTCTGGTTGGACTTTCCTAAAGACTGGTCAATTTAGTTAGTAAAGATTCTAAAACCGAGGCTTGGCTCTTCGTTAATGTCCAATCCCAATCATATAACGCGACTCAGCAACACGAAGGAAGGATTCTATTACCTCTTCATCTATTTAGGTATTACCTGAAAAAAACGTATCGTAATTGTTTTCAACTTATTATTCTGATAAAAATGACAAATATTTTAGCTACCCTTGGATTCCTTAGCTGAATTAAGAGTTTTAGTTCCAGGCTGATAAAGAAACAGTCGTCACAGAAAAGATGATGGTAAACAGATAACTTACTTTCAAACATATGATGATGATTTCGAAGAAACGTCTGCAGTCCGCCATGTTGGGATTTCATTAGCTTCAAATGATCCGTATTCAGCAACTCACTGACCTCGCGCAAAGTTAGATGACCTAGTCAGAATGAGATGAGATAAAACGAAAATGTGAGACCGAAGAAATGCTCAGAATACCATTTTCACGATCGATAACAATGTGGTGGCATCGCTGACAAGGACAGTAACAACAAATCCAATTCGAAGATTTAACCGCAGAGTGTTGAGCAAAAGCATATGATTAGGACAGATTAGCGAGTACTGAAAACGAACCAGGTGAGTTACCGCAGTGGTGCTGTTGTTGCTCACCCACAGTCTAAGAGTAGGAAGAGAGTCACACGCATGAGACCAGAGGCCATTTCGTCGTACACATCACCGAATGAGGCAATCGATCGCATCACAACGAGAACAAGGCCAAAAGGTCCGTAACAGAGGGGAGAAGTACACGGATCGGAACTTCACCTCAACGAATCCCAAGTACAACTAACAACTACTGCTTCGAAGTGCGGCAAAGATCGAAGTGCCCAATTACGACCTAATTGATGTAGGTTTGGACATCTCCGTACATTGCGGAACTGTAAACATACTGTCAACGAGAAAAGTCTTCACTGAACTTATTTGAGCAAATCGATGCACACACC